GAACAGTGATTTTCATTTGGGTGACGTTTCCCACCTAAATCAACAAATTTTTGGGCACTGGTACCCCTCGCCAGCATCAGGGTTGACGTCACTCACTCAGACTGACTGAGTGTTGAGCTGTCCGGATGGTCGCAGCTCGGTTGTGGCCGCTTTGGCAGTGTTTTTTGGTGATCTAGTGCAACCGTCGCAGAGCAAAGGGAGTATGAAATTCAGTTTTTTTTTTGTGGGTTCTTTCGCTAAGAAGTATTTTTCAATTATTAATGTGTGTTCTGTATGCAATATTGCTTTTGCAAGGACGTTGATTGTTTTTTATACTTTGATGGCTGATAAAGTTCGTATGCAATTTGTTAATAATGGAGGGGTTGGTGGGATGCCTAACTGGTCCGGGTGTATGGTTAGTAAGAGGTGGAAATTGGGCTAGTTGCGGAGTTAATTGGAGTGGTTTATGGCTGGGTATGGTTTATTTCCAGTTAAAATATTAATTTGTTTTGGGAGGGGTAGGTTAAAAAAAACTCATCGGTTACAACTCATCATTTACAAACTATAGGGGTCTTATTGTTTTCTTCTCTTAGATCGCTGGACTTAGCCGTTCCACACTCTGTATGGGTGAATTCAGCTCATTTTTTTTCACGGGATAGCGGCTCCAAGTGCAGAACCTGGCCGGGTTTCGTGTTGGGTGGCCACTGATGTGGGCCAGTGCGGTTCACCAATGAGGTGGTGATGGTGTTGTGAGCGGTGGTTGAATTTGTAGAGTTGTCCGGTTATGCCTGGCTATGGTTGAACCTTGGTTCCCATGCAGGTAAACGGCTACTGGCATAAGGTTTGCCATGGTGAGCGCACCCCGTGAATGGCGGGCTCAGCTATAGTGGCGTGGCGCTGTCGGAGCGATGAGTTTTATTAGTAGTTTATGGTGCTTCACTGATCAACGCCAATTGCGCTTAGGTTATTTGGGTAAATGGGGGTTAGGTATAAAAAATGTAGGTATATGAAATAAAAAAAAAACTAAAAAAATTATAAAGTAAAAATAAAAACAAACAAACAATATAAAAACAATTTATTGATGGCGCTTCACTGGTCAACACCAAATGTTGCCCAGGATATTTAAGTAACTGGGGGGTTTACGTATTGCTCCGGTAGGTAGGTACTTGATCACTTTAGATGGAATTTGTTATACCTTTTTGCTTTTGCTTAGAACGCTGGACATTGGCATTCTACACTCCGGTTGAGTGGATTCAGCTCATTCTTCCAGGGGGTAGCAGCTCCAAGCGCGCGACCTGGCCGGCTTAGGTGTTGAGTGGCCACTGAGGTGGGCCGGTGTTCACCGGTGGTGTTGGTGTTGAGGGTTGGGAGTTGAGTTTGTAGAGTTGTCGTTGGTTATGCCTGGCTATGGTTGAAACGTGGTTCCCATACAGGACAACTGATACTGGCGTAAGGGTTGGCGTAGTGAGCGTACCCCTTGGGAGGTGAGCTGTTTTTGTGATGTATGGCCTTTTTCCAAGCGTTATATATTTTTTATTAATTTATTCGGAGGCGCGCTGTCAGGGGTCGCGCGCGGCTGCTGCTCGCGCTGTCGGCGTCACCGGGGGTCATTGAGTGGTTGGAATGTTAATTTTACCATACGATGTTACGAGTAATTTCTAACATTTTTATGATAGCAACCTGGTTGTGTGTACTCAGGTTGTGTACTTTTGTCACTCAGGACCTGCCTATGATTGGTTGGTGGGTGAGTTACTGTACCTTCTATGGGTGACATTGAGGCAGCTCGGCGTTTGGAGGCAGTAAACACCTCCAAAACGTGTCGAGCTAGGAAGCTACGGCAATTTTTACCCATATTGGCCTGTTTACAGCGTAGGGGCTGTCTGTATGCCGGTCTTTTGGTCCCTGATCAATCCGGAGCTTAGCGGGAAGGCATGCTTGTTGCCCGTGGCGGGGGGATGCGGATACTATCAGATTTCAACAGCGGGTATTTTGGTATTCAGGTCGGGTAATTGCCCTAAACATTTGGAGAATCTTTGGATGCCCAATTCTACAAGTCCCGGGTGAAGCTCGCTAGTCTGCCCGGGGGTATCCCCTTCTACAACGACCCCGAGGCAGCTCGCTAGTCTGCCCGGGGATATCCTCTCCTACAACGGCCTCGGGGCAGCTCGTTAGTCTGCCCGGGGGTGCCCCTTCTACAACGGCCTCGGGGCAGCTCGCTAGTCTGCCCGGGGGTGTCCCCTTCTACGAACCCGGGACAGCTCGCTAGTCTGCCCGGGGGTGTCCCCTTCACAACGGCCTCGGGGCAGCTCGTTAGTCTGCCCGGGGGTGTCCCCTTCTACAAAGGCATCGGGGCAGCTCGCTAGTCTGCCCGGGGGTGTCCCCTTCTACAACGACCCCGGGGCAGCTCGCTAGTCTTCCCGGGATGTCCCCTTCTACAACAGCCTCTGGGCAGCCCGCTAGTCTACCCGGGGGTGTCCCCTTCTACAACGGCCTCGGGGCGGCTCGATAGTCTGCCCGCGGGCGTCCCCTCCTACAACAGCCTCGGGTGTAGCTCGCTAGTCGCAAGTCTGCCCGTGGTAGTCCCCTTCTTCAACGGCCTCTGGGCAGCTTTCTAGTTTGCCGGGGATGTGCTTTTCTACAACGGCCTCGGGGCGGCTTGCTCGTCTGCTCGTTGGTGGCTGCCGCCAGGACGCCGGTAGCGCAGGCGTCATTCCGGCGGCTTTGAATGTGGATGCCGGCGGGCGCTGAGAGCTCTCCCCTTTTGCTGGTCGGCTATCTATGACCTGATTACCTATAGTTTCGTGGTCACTGTTTTAACCTTTGCAAAGTTTTAGGTAACATTCATGGTCGTTATCATTGCCACGCATATCACAGGGATTAAGGTACACGTAACAGTAGCTGTGGCCTCTGTTGTCAGTTGCCTAACAACCATTGGGTTACCATGTTTTTTTGGGGGGGACGGCGCTAAAATAATAACAATAATAACAATAATAATGACAATATAATAACAATAATAATAATAATAACAATAATAATAACAATAATAACAATAATAATAACAATAATAACAATAATAACAATAATAATTAACATTAGCAATAATAAAAGAAAAAAGCAGCTCGCTAGTCTGCCCGGGGAAGCCGTTTCTCATGGCCTCTGGTGCTGCCCGGGATGCTCCATTCTTCCACCTTCTACAACGGCCGCGGGACGGCTCGCTAGTCTACCCGTAGGTGGCTGCCGCTAGGACGCCCAGTAATAGCGCGGGCGTCATTACGGCGGCTTGGAGCGCTGATTCCTGGAGCGGGCTGAGAGCGCTCCCTTTTTTTTTTGCTGGGCGGCTGTCAACGACCTTCGTTGATACTGTTCTAACCCCTTCCAAAGTTTTGGGAAAATGCATGGTCGCGCTGATAGGTATGTGTATAGTGTTCAAGGTAAAGGAAAATACAGCTTTTGTTAACTGCCTCAGAACTCATGGATGGTTGTTTTTCGTCGGGTATATCGAGGGTCTTTAGTTGGTGGAGGCTATCATCGCAGTAGTGGCTAATGCTAATGGTTGTTACTTGTTAGTCTTGCTGTAAGGGCTTTGGTATAAATGTAATATTGTTCTTCATTGGTGACCGCTGTATCGTTCACATTCATGTTGGCAGGTTTTAGGGATCGTGGCGTTTCTGGTAAGCTCCGGGCCAGGTTGAGGAAATGATTACTTGCCTTCAACCAACTACCAAGCACGTATTTGGGTGGGCTCTGCCACTGGTCTTGACACTGGCGGCGACTTAAGGTCTTTTGTTGTTTATTTGTATCCCCCATTCGGTCTGCTGGTCTCGGGAAAGGGGTGTTTTGTTATGGCGCATTGGTGTCTGGGTGGATGTATTGAATGGGTGGTGACACCATTGCGCCGCGAGTGGGGAGGGGTGGCGGCCCGTTGGCAGGGCAGTCTCGGTTGAGACATGTATACTTGCTAGTATGTCTGTGTCGTGTTCATTGGGCTGAATATACCAATAGCCCCTTTTTGTACAGCTACAGTGTTTTTCCTGGACGGACTTGGTTGTGAGGTTTGCACTGAGGTTGGTTACGCATAGCATAGCTAATTGTCTGTTTGCTGGCAGCTCGAAGGGGAAGCGGAAAATACGCCCGGTTATATATAACAAGATATAACCGGTTTTTCCGCGACACTACGAGCGTCTTCTCTGGGGCGGCCCCGGAGCCTGGCCGGCCTCGGCGAGCAGCGTTCGGCGGCAGGCGGGCGGCCGCCCGCGCCCCGGGCGGCAAGGCCGCTGAGGCGGCGGCCTCCTCTGATTGGTGGAGCGACTCGTGTCACGTGACGGTGGCGGCGCGGGGTTTGAGTGTATATGCGCGGTCACTCTGTTCTAGGCTGCCCGGTCTGACGCAAGTCAGCAGTGTTCTCGCTCTGAAATGTTTTTGCGTTTCCCACCCACCCACCACCATTTTAGGGTTTTTTTTTTACACGCACCACACTCTTAAATAAAGATGGGTTTTTCCACAAAATGTGGTTTTTTCCCCAGCTAGGTCCCCCGGTTTTTTTCTAGTTAGGACTTTTTCCGGGGGAGGACACACACGACAGGGTTTCTAGTTTGGGTGGTGACACCATTGCGCCGCGAGTGGGGAGGGGTGGCGGCCCGTTGGCAGGGCAGTCTCGGTTGAGACATGTATACTTGCTAGTATGTCTGTGTCGTGTTCATTGGGCTGAATATACCAATAGCCCCTTTTTGTACAGCTACAGTGTTTTTCCTGGACGGACTTGGTTGTGAGGTTTGCACTGAGGTTGGTTACGCATAGCATAGCTAATTGTCTGTTTGCTGGCAGCTCGAAGGGGAAGCGGAAAATAGTAATATAGATTGTGAAAAATAGCTGCAAGAAACTAAAATGCACAGCCACAGACATGCTCACCAAGGCCTTTCCACTACCCAATCGACACAACAGGGTCGGTAACACTCCAACCTCTGGTCAGATCATTCGTGAGCTTTGGAGCCCGTCTACCAGGTAGCTCGCCGTCATCTCACCTTCGTTCTCTGGCGAGCTGCTGATGGTGAACGGATGCCACTCGTACTTGGCCACGGCCGGGATGTTGACGTAGCAAAAGTCGCCGGGCCGGAACACGAAGTCGGGCGGTCGGGACACCGTCAGTCGCACCACCTGTGAAATCACACAGAATGGTTGAATTCGTTATAAAATCGCAGGTACGGGCGACAAGAGCCATCGACGTTTGAACACCAATGTTACCAGACTCAGTGACTCCGGGCGTTAGAATACAACATGGTGCATCGGCGTTGATTATCACAGGTACCGGTGTAGTCTTTTCACAGGTAACGACGTAAGGTTACAGGAACCGACATCATTTATATCACAGGTATCGATGATTGTGTTAGCTTTTAAATGTAGTCGGACTGCGGTTGGTATATGATATAGTGAGAGCAGTCGGACAGAAATCATGACTGGGGCCATCAAATATGGTATATAATTTACTCTTGTGAGGAGTTCGTACGGGTTGCTGAATGCGGAGTCTGCATGGGTCATGGCGTGGCAGCACTCGCCACTCTTCATCACTATTCCTCCGTGCAACACCGCCCCTAAGTGCATCAGTGACCTAGCCCCCAGCCGACCATCCGTCGCCAGCCAAACACCTGCTGTCCGCTGGCGACCCACTGACGTCATCACGACCCAGTGACGTCACCGTATGTATAACCGGCTGGTCAGCCTGCAGTCGGCCAGGGCCGCGGTCCTGTTGTGGTCCGACTCCGATATCCATCTCCTTCCGCTGCACACCGCCGCCAGAGCTTCCGGAGTTACCATGAGGCGTGGTCTTATCTCAGGAAGTAGCTTACGAAGGCGTGGCCTACGCTCAGGAAGTACAGTAGCAGCTAGGAAGGCGAGGTCAACGCCCAGGAAGGACTCCAGGGAGGTGTGGTTTACATTTATAGAACGATGCTTTTCATGTCGAACGATGCCACACATCCAGAGCGATGCCTTCCGGATAGGTGAAGCCGGTGAGGCGATGCGGCTGCTGATCTAAGAAATGGCCATCATGGAGCGTGTTTTCTCTCGGGGGCGAATCCCTCCCCAGCAGTAACGGACTGCGCACGGCGGGTGAAGATGAGGCCACAGAGGTGAAAAAAGGTGTCAACTCTCCAACCGGTGTTGGAGACAGAGTCAATCCAATAAAGGAAGGTCGTCGGAGACACAACCACTTTAATATAAATAATAATCTCTTTTCATTGTTGTCGCAAAATTCTTCTCGTTTTTCTTTGATGCACGCAAAAAAATCAATCATATTGAGTCTTAGTTCATTACGAGAACTTCATACTCCATAGCACTATACAGTATACATAGGCTGCCGGAGACACCGGAGACAGAAGGTGGCGAGAAGGTGATTACTCCTAGAGCCGGGCGGAATCCATAAAGACGATTCTCTTTGACGCTTGCCGCGAAACTAGACCTTACGGCTGTCTCCGGAGACACGAAAGAATTTCAGTAGCGAAAACGCTAGCACAAACCCTGCGCACTTGTGACAACGCGGCGCAGCTTCTGAAAATGCCGTTGGGTTGGGATAGTAGCGACAGTGAAGTGTGCTTGAAGTGACTGAAGAGAGTAGTTGGATCTTGGTTGAATCTACCTAGGTAAGACTAAAATAAGACAATGGTTGAGGTTGGGGAATAGTTATCAAAGTTGAGGAATCAATAGGTACTGAGGACATATTGAACTTTTCAAACAAAAGTAACATATATTGTACAAAATCCCTTGTGAATGATTTTTATTATATAGTTGATGCAGGAACACTCGTTTTCCTTTCATTTGTTTTATATTTCAGTTCAAGGTTCAGTTCTGATTGACTGATTTAGGAATGCATGTGAAGGTGGTACAATACATTGATTGCATTTTTTTTTCTACAAATACTTCAAAAGGAAATAGACAAATCTGAAGTGATTTATGTTGCTGAGTGCACTTCTCTTTGAATTTCAAAAATTTTAGATTAAGTATTCATAAGAAGTTTTATTCAAGCTTGATGTTGTTCCTTGTCCTAGCATCAATCCATGATGTCTAAAACTTGTTTCTATGTACCCATTATACAAACCACATGGTTTGATATTTGCAGATTGAGGTGCACAGCCTCAATGCAAGCATTTGCAACAAGCATTTACCTATATTTTTGAACCATTTCTGGACTTCCTGTTGGAAGTGAAGAGCAAATACTCCAGTCATTGTTTTGATTTTACAAATATTAAATCTTGGTGGTCTATATCAAAGCACCCATCTTGCTGACACCTTCAGGTAAGGCCAGAGATCAGTCTAAATATGTGCATGCATCTGAATGATTTAAAACAATCCAAGTCTTCATTGGTGCTTATATCAATGTAAATGTGCTATTTTCATTGGCTTACTCCCATGCCTTCGATTTCTGCATGGCAGAGGAAGCATTTATTCAAAGGTAATTATAGCTTTAAAATAGTAGGGAGATGCGAGATGACGTTTTCATTATCAATGCATAACTTCATTCCAGTAGCCAAATCAGTCCCCTGCAGTTCTGCATTTCTCGACCTGCCAACGGTGGCCATGACGGCTGGTAAGGCCCCGGTCCGGCAGTTGGCAGTAGCGCCACCTACACTGTTAAGGTCGGCGGATCCCGAGGCCACGGGCCGGCCTGGCCCGACCGTGGCAGACGAGCCAGGGAGCGGGCGGCAGGGGTGGGGAGGGGTATCCGGGAAAGACGGGCAGCATTGCACTTAATAAACAAGGTTGGTATTAATAATTTGCCTGGAGTATCCGCGAGTCTTTTTAAGGCAGGCGCGACGTTACCCAAATATAACTTGCTTTTAATTGGAGAGTTGGTAGGCAAATTAAGGCATTTGCGTGTTGCTCATTGACTAGCCCTCTGTTTTGGAATAACACCCGGTAATGCTGCCCACAAGTGCAGTGCTAGCCTGCTTTTTTGTCTGTTTTAGGTATACATAGAAATGATTGAACGCCCTGCTAACCTAAATTTGTTCGTAGGTAATTCTTACGATTTGTTTGAAGTGCCGACCTCCGAAGGAATAGTCCTTTCGAAAGCTAATACTTGCGTCCGGCTTTTAGTTTAGGAAAATAACACCCATTGTATTCATAAGTATTGCTGATTTAACAGCAAAGTAAGTTGAAAAATTTTAATTTCCTTGCCTTTGTGTAGATGAAGGAGAGCAGCCACCAGCACACACGTCTAGCCGATCCTCTCACAGCCTCCACACTGCTGCCCATTGCCCAAGGGCCAAGGACCGACCGTAACATCTGTGTGCCATAAAATGGTACAACGGCGTCTTTCATCAGGCGGACCCCAATGCGAACGCCACGCGGACCGTCCGTAATCGCGTTATGCGCCAGGCGCGGCCATAGCGCGGGACGCGACGCCAGCGCCGCCTATCGGCAACGCCAGAGAACTAAGGTCGGTGAGAGCACGGATTTTGATGGGTGATAGCGCAGTGTGAAAAAATAGGAAAGTTACATGAAAATGTCGCTATACTACGGTATAGTTCACCATCTGAGCGACATATTTATGTATTTTTATCCATGGCGGATAAAAATTGGACCCGGGATCTGGCCATGGAAGAAAAAAATGTTGGTCAGTGTAAGCACGGATTTTCGTGGAAACTAGCGCAGTATGAAAAAATAGGCAGCTTACATAAAAATGTCGCTATACTACGCTGTAGCTCACTAACTGAGCAACACATCTCTGCACTTTTTATCCATAGGAGAGAAAAATTCGACCCGGGATCGGGACATGGAAGAAAAAAATATTTGCACCACCAAATGAAATTAAGATACATCACTCCCGTTATATTTGTATTGAGTCTTTCATGAAACAATTTCGCTATACTACGGCAAACAGCATGACGTCTCGCATATATTGAGACATATTTTGACAATGCAATGTAGGTATAATACAATTTGGAATGTTCATAAACATTTTATCTTCTCCTGCCAAATCCCGGTGCCAATTATCCCCGAATATTGGTAAAAAATACGTCAGGGTAAACGCATATTACTGAATTTAATTGCATTATATCGCATTTTTCAGTTTATCGTTAAGTCTCCACACAGGGACGTTTTCATCTGAAGTTTGGCCGCCGGAGCCACCGCGAGGCCTAGTTGCACGAGTAGCCGATAGTCGGCGCCACCGTCGCACTCGGCCGCAGCCAGTATACTGCCAAAAATGGAGCTATTATGATATCGCTCGTTGGTAACTAAGTGTGGCGTGCTTCATAAATGATCGCCGCATAGAGAAACAACCGTTTAATGAAGAAAATGACTTATATTTTACTCATAATAACAATCTGAACCCCAATGTCCGCTTCTATATGGAGTTTGGCGCATAACGGAACGGTTGGTCCAGGACGACTGACGCAGGGCTTAGCTGATTTTGTCTGGTCTGACACAAGCTCTATAAGCATTGGTAAACCATCAGTTCAATTGTTTTGAGTTGACCTCGCGATTGAAGCATAAAGGCTAGTCATTAGTCTATCCCAGAAACAAATACACCCTTCGCATTTGTTCGCGGCATTCGTGTAACAGCGGTTCAAAAGCATGGGAACACAGCATAAACACAACCAGTCTTTCAATGGGTATTGCTGGGTCCAGATGGCAGAAAGATGGCAGAAAGTTTTTGAAGGTAAAAAAGGAACACTCCCCAAAAAGCAACTCCGAAATCCAAAATATTCTGTTTCCACTTATTGATCCTTTTTCAGCCCTTGAAAATACTTCAACTTTTATCTAACGGAGCTTGAGTGTCTTTCAAAGCCAAAAATTGTAAAGTTTGTATTAATAAGGGCTTCGTGTGCTGCTCAGCCAAAAAAGTTTACAATTTGCCTGGAGACAGAGCCAGTATGCCAGCTTATACAGTTGGAGACAGCGTAGATATTTTTTTCACCTCTGTGAGGCCAGACCCTGACACCCCACTCGGTAACCCGCCCCGGACACCCCACTACAACTGCAGCCCCATGTGAGCCGGCCCGGCGCCCAGACGGTGTAACGCTCCCCGCTGGGCAAGGGCTGTCTGCAAGAGCTGCAAGGGAGTGTCCGTCTACCGCGGAGAGCGACCGACCACAGTGAACTGAACGGGGAGAGGGAGAGGGGGTGACTCTAATTAATACCCGGGAATCGATAAGCGATGAATGACTGAAACGAGCGTGAGCTAACCTATCCGATGGCGGCTCCGCACTGCACCAAACCGTCCGACAGCAATTTTGGACTAATTTTAATCGCAAGCAATTTTAGGCCATTACTTGATACTTGACTCAGCACCGCAAGAATTAATGATGTGCCCAAGCTACCGATGGCAGCTTGAAGGGGTTGCATACCGCACTGATAGATGGAAATCAGTAAATCATTAACCACCAATTATGACCATTGACCACATCGATCTCCAATGAGCCAATAACTAACCTACCGGACCTGACCTTGGCCAATGAGCCGGGGAGCTGTCATCAGGCCCCACTGAACCCGTCCCTCAACTTCGACTTCGGAGAGAACCGGGAGACCTCTGACGTCATTCCACAGCCACGGCTCGTAAAACGGCACGCCACGTAAACGATGCCGTCGATAGACGTAGTAACTGGACTCCCCGTCGAAAGACCGACAATTATGCCATAAACCGATCGTTTAGCATTGCTGATAGTTTATTGAGGACCTCATTGTATCCCCCAATGACCCATTGTCGGGAGGTGACCTGACCTGATTTCTGCGGTTCCTTCTGCAGGGGTTGGTAAGGTGGTTTAGGGGTGCAGACGCACCCTTCAGTGCCAATCGCACCACTTTGTAATAATAATGACACAAAGCACCTGGCCAACGGGCATCGTTGGACGGCGGTGTAACCTACAGCCTTTTGTACCGAGCTCGCTGGCCCTGGGCAGTTATCGGCGATGGAGCGCGAAGTGACCTGGCCTCGCTAGATGGCTGTGTGAACTGTAAATGGTCAGCTAACCTTACTGAGTCGCAGCGTGTCCGTGTGCCATGTCCTGACTTCACTGGGTAACAGAGTGACCTGTGACCTGTCAAATAACCTCACTTGGCAGCAGAAAGGCGGCAGTGACCTGTGACCTGGTAGGTAACTGACTTCATTGGGCAGCAGGGTGACCTGTGCCGTATCGAATGACCTCACTTAGCAATAGAGTGACCTGTGACCTGTGTACTGACCTCGCTCGGCAGCAGGGTGGCGGCGGTGACGGTCGACCTGCCCCGGTCGCTGCAGACCCGGCTGACCCGACAGGCCACTTCCAGTGCAAACAGGGCGCCCGGCACCAGGAACCACTTCCAAAAGTTGGGCGAGTGCAGGATGAGCAGCACCCAGGTGGGGATACTGAGCAGGTGCGTCCAGTAGAATATCTGTCCGGGGAGAGAGAGGGGGCGTCAGGTCAGACCGAGAGCAGAACGAGGCAGAGGGATGTGTAGCTCACAGGCCGCTGTAAACCAGTATGCAGACCGCAGAAGTCTATGGATGGACGTACAATCAGAAGGGACTATCAGAGAACTCTTCACATCTACAGCAACTCAGATGACGCTCATTCCCCCATCACAGATCCTAACACTGACACACGGTAACTATAGCTCAGTCAGACCGAACAGGGACAGCCTACACCAGCACAGCCCCGGCCAGCTGCCGAGTCCCAGACTGATCGGTTCTCGATCAGCCAATCCACATCACCGGTGTGCCGCCATCACAAAACGGCCAACACCTGACCGCTAACGCCGACCCCCGTCTGTGCGCAATGACGGAGCGGTGACCGAAAACAATGACCGAAAACCGACCGCTGACCGCAGGCGGCACGTGCCGGGCGGTCAACCGCCGCCGGGCGACGACTGTCGAAATGGTACCGAGTGGCGAAACGGCCGCCGGCCGGCCGGCCACGGTCGCGCCCTCAATGCAGTGCCGAGCCGGAGCCGCCGCGGTATGACCGTTTGGTGGGGGCTGAATGAACAGCGGGAATCGCCCACCATGCCGTCTGGTCTGACTGCTGGCCGTTGCTCGGTGCTCACGCTGAAGGGATTTCTACTAACGAGACCAACTGAAGCAAAACATCAGATGTAGCGCTAAATGCTGGCCAACATCGAAAGACTGCTATTAAATATCAGTTAACTAAATATTTTATGACTGTTGTCACCCTAAATGCAACTACATATATCAGCTCAAAACACTATTCTCGAGTACCTATGTGCGAGGAAAGACGACGCATTCAGACGACCCAACACACTGTCTTGGCGGCACCCCTCCATTCCCATCCCCACCCATGGCAGCAGGTATTGGTGCCGGTGCCGGCGGCAGCAGCGCTCTACAGGCCCGCGCTGGGTCACTGCGCAGCCATCAGCGGCGCATGCAGCGCGCGCCACGTGCCGCCCAAGGCTGGCTGTCACGGAGGCCGGCTCCCCACGGCGCCGAGCGAGAGGCAGGGTCACCATCCCCGCTCAGAGGACGATGAAACGCGCCCACCCGCAAAACGACACGTTACGGTCGCCTCACGGGAACAACAATGCGTCTGGCGCCGTCCGTTTTAACAGACAAGGTAGCAGACCGGAAAATAGCTTATTTAGGATTTTTTTTCACGGGTGACGAGCATGAATGGCCCTAATGCACGTTTATCCGCGGCGGTAATGTTGGAGTAATAGCACCGTATCAGCATTATGACACCGCTCATGTTTTAGTGCCGCTGTCAATGTCATATGAACCCACCCGCTGACTGATATGCCTCCTATAGTTACCAGCGGGGCCTTTCAAACACTCATTCATTTTATCCGAGCGGAGCGACAGCATCCAGCGTACGGTGTACTTTGATCTGCACGATTAAGGCCCATCAGTGCCAAGGATCAGGGGCTGAACCAGGCCCCATTTGAGCAGCCGTTTGGCCGAGCTACCACCGACGGTTCGTGACGTCCTCTGATCGATCCGGAGGCTGTTACACGCCCCCGTTACGCCCTCGGTCGGGCTCGGTCACGGTGCATCACATACCTCGCCGGGTCGTGAGCCCGGTCCCATCTCCTATCCACCCCACCCCGCCGACCTCGGGGCGCACACCGCCGCCAGGGGTCACGCCAGGTCACCGAGGTCACCGGCGCCCGCCAAGGATGACGGCGGTGGGCCGAGCCGTCACCCGTGTAACTATGCGATCGAGACCGGCGCGGCAGCCACACACAGCCGAGAGCTAGTCATAGATCTCGAGTTATGGTGGGAGAGAAACAACAGCACAACAGGTCTTCACCCAGCGTCATTTCTCGACCAATTGAAACGGTGCAAGTTTCAGGCCATTCTTCATCGTCAGCCTAGAGACCTTGACATCGCGGACACATGAGCTCGTGCGCGAGCCTGACGTGCATACGATACTATATTTTGTAATTAAAAACATTTCATATGCACCTCAGTTCAGCTCAGCCAAGCGTTAAGTGATCAACAAAGCCTGCCTTGCTGTCAGAAGGTAAGGGAGGTAAGACATACCTGTCAAGGGAGGTAAGGCATCGGAGAACTTTGCAAGAAAACCTCTCATTGTCATGAACCGATGCACGCGACGTATTATAAGTCATAAGTCTCAAACATAACGTGGTATCCCTCGACGCATGTAGACCACAGACAGCTCGGCCGTCCGACCAGCGCACCTGCGTGGCCCATCACACCGTGACGATCAGACCACCCCGGCGCGGCGCCGTGAAGGCGGGGGCCCGGCCCGGCCGCCCGGTCGGTCAGTCAGTCAGCCTTGACAAGCACGCCAGGAATGTGGGGGCGCCGAGCGCACCAGCTGATCGGGAAGGTCGGCGCCGTACCGCGCCGGGGGCCACGGCCGCGTGCCGTGCCGGGCACCGTACGGGACGGGCCCGATGAGCAGGGGGACCGGGGGGGGGGGGGGGGACTGGAGGGCGCATAGGAGCCTGACTATGGAGAGAGATAATCTAGGGGTTCGGGACACCAAGGCCCACGTCGTCCCTGAGATACGGTCCCAAATAGATGGTAGACTGAACGCACTGTGCGCAGACAGTTTTAATGCCATGGAATAGGCTATACGCCGGTGATTGCCACAGATGCCATAAACAAAACAATGGCATAGCCGTGTCAAGGTCCACACATGAAACAACCAGTAACGACTGTTCCTAGTAAAACAAAAACGGCTAGCCGTGTGTGGCGAGTTGTGGTAAATAAAATCTTCAGAAACGTCACAATTTATGGCAGAATGACAAAGGGAGCTGGCGGTAAAGTAGTAGCAGTCTCGATGCGATTACCGTGTCTAGTATGGTCGGCACGAGATGGCGATGATTTCCGTGCCCAGTCCTGCGGGTAATCGCGCCGTTAGTCAGTGAGCGCCGTCATTTACCGGGCCGTGACCCAGTGATTGAACCGTGACCCGTGACCCGAGTCACTGTAACCGACACCGCATTAAATCGACCAGTGACTGACTGAACCGTGACTCGAGTCGCTCCATACCGCACTGCCACATACCGCTGTCATTGCCATATGCCGCTGGTGTTTAATGATAGATGAACATAGGGTCCTTGCTTTTTATCCACTTCATGGTGTTAGTAACCCTAGACGGTTTGGTTTATCCTTGCCTTCAGTACAGTCTTGTCTTGATACAGTCTTGCAGCCTGTATCACAATCTCAACCCATCGCACACTTAACCACACCCGCATATGCCACACACATTGCACATCATACCACCCCAACCCATCCAAACGTCAGACGGGCTCACTCGACTTTCGAAGGCCGCACAGCGACCCATATTACCCCTCCCTGTCGCACGCACTGAGTCAACCGCACACGGCAGTCTCTGCGGCGTTAAGTAGCGGCTCGGCGGCTCCGAGCCGTCACCGTGCGGTACCCGCAGCCAGGGCGGAGCGGCAGTCAGGCGGAAAAGGCCTCCGCCGGGAGATCGTATCAGGCGTGCGTAGTGCGTACTCAGCAGTGGGGTGGGGTGGGGTGGGGGAGGCGTCTGCAGCTAGCGGCGAGAGATGGAAGGATGGGTAGATGAATGGAGTAAAAGATAGATGGATGAGTGGATGGATAGATGACGGACAGATGGACTGGCGGATGGAAGAAGGGTGAACATATGGATGAATCGACGGACATACCGACGGACTGACTGACGGACGGCAGTTCTCGAATGTAGGTCAGTTCCAGAATGACCGCGGCGGGCGCTGCAACAGTCGTGCATGCCACCCCGATAGCGGGCTGCGATGGCCGTGATATATGGCAGTTACGGCGCACATTATATGGCCAGGCCCGTCTCTGGTTACCAGGCGGTCGGTTATACCTACGGGTAACCGCGCGGCATTAGCAGTGACTGAGGCAGGGGAAACCAGGACTACTAGCAACAAAGTGGTTAGTAACTGTAATTGATGCGGCATTTCGTTGCAGCAGTGAATGGGAAAAAGCCAGGGACTGTCTGACTCCCGTGGAGTAAGTAACTGGTCAATGCAATGTTGCAGGTTGCAACAATTAATGAGATACAGGACATATCTTATTACCTTCCCAGATCAGTGACAATAACAATTCCTAAATAGCACCCATGGAACACAGGAGAGCGACGGGCCGAGTCAGGGATGTGACGTCATCATCAGAACTGACTCATGTGACATCATCGGTCCACCGTCCTCCTTGTCACAATCCATCTCCAGGCGGCGCCAAGCGACGCGCGTGGGCACTGGTCCTCTGTATATCTAAGCTCCGGTGTGGTCATATATTCAATCGGTTTCGACAATCACAAACGTTGCCGCTGCCGCTGGGCGGGGGCAGCATACTGCTATCATGACATTACAAGAGAAGTGAGGGAAGGGGAGAGGAGGGGAGTGGGGAGGTTAGAGGTTGGGAGGAGGTGCTCCACGGACCACTAGCCGGTCCTGTTGGATCGGATAGCTACCGGTACCGGTTACACACACCGAGCACGGTGGGGTAACGATACATTCAGTCGCTCGGGAGCATCCCTTTCACAGAGGGGGCGTGCAGCGCAGTGAACCGTGAATGGGGCCTGGCGCGGCGGAGCGTTAGAGGTTCGTGAGAAGCCTGTGTCTACTGTCTGCACTTGATAGTGATGGGCGATAGTTCGGAAAGTAAACATTAAACAACAGTAAAGCGTTTTTTCGGCGGATTCATGGATGCGTTACAAGACTTCGACAATATTGGATTAGCATTTCAAGATTAGCATAAGACTTTGGATACCTTATGCTGTGACCTCACAATAAAGGTAGTGAATACTGTGATTGAACTGTTCAACTTCAACTCGCATACCACAGTCCACCCCGTCAGTTATTACCGATTTTGGATTCGTCAGAGAGCGTCACTGGGTAATTAAACCGCGGCTGGCCGGCGGCAAAGTACCCCGTTGTGCCGTTACAATAAACATTCCTCC